AATAAAAATGATTTAAAAATATCGTCTCCTCGCTGCATGTGTTGACCTCCCAGACATATTTAAAACCTTCACAATAAGAACTGTTCATGTTCTTACGTTTGTTGCCTCCGGCCCGTCAGCTAAGTCCTGTTTTTCACCCTCGACCTTGCCCTTATTAAATGCTTTCTGCTGAGATTTTTAGAGACGGCATTATCGCTGCTGCCCAAAGTTGTTTCCAGCACACTACATCCTAACCGCGGGTAAAGGAACAAACACTTCCTTCAGATGAGACGCTGGAGTCCCGCTACCATCGGATCCGTGGTTAAGAGCGGCATCTAGCGGCGAAGCACTACAGCGACCAGCCCGGGGTCTATTTCACAATAGCGCCACCTAGCGGCCAGCGATGGCCGAACAGTGTTTGTCGCTCTAACGCAAGACACGTTAATAGCGTGAGAGGCAGATATTTCCCTTTAACATTGCACTCCCTAGAGAGTAAAGACAGGTACTATTTTCATACAGATGGCTGAAAGTGAAGCATTAGAATCAATGGATCAGCATATTTTATACAATGGAACAAGTAATAGGTTTATTCCATGCTGAAAAAAAGAAGAAAGAAAACGGAACGTTTCGGCTGTGGAATCTTCTTCAGGTGTGAGGAAGAAGAAGACCTGAAGAAGACCCTCACACCTGAAGAAGGCTCCATGGCCGAATCGTTGTGTTTTCTTTCTTTTCAGCCTGGAATAAACCTTTACTTGTTCCTTTGCAGCCTATGCATGCTGACGCAGCTCCCCACCTGAGCTATTTTATACAATTTGGGTCACCGCGACACCAAAAAACAGATATTGCTGCACTGGAATGAGGATGTTGAGATGGATTCTGCAGATTTCAATGAAGGATGAGATCAGAAGTGAAGAAACCCGTAGACGATGTAGGGTGGTGGATGTGGTTGAGAAGATGCGAGAGGCGAGGTGACGGTGGTATGGACAGATCATGAGGAGGGACGTTGAGGAAGTAACAAAGAGGGTAATGGGATTTGAGGTGGAAGGTAGCAGGGGGAGAGGCAGGCCTAGAAAGAGATGGAGGGATTGTGTGAGAAAAGATATGGAGGAGTGTGAAGTGAGTGAGGAAGATGTGCTCGACAGAGACAAGTGGAGAAGAGCAACCAAAGCAGCTGAGCCCAGGGCAGTCTGGGACTGAGGCTGTGGAAAAGAGGAAGAAGAAGAAGAAGAAATGAGGCCAGAGAAAACTGGAACAATTCTGACTCATTCCGGAGTTTAAAGAAATATCCGACACCAGCAGGCTGAAGGAACCCGATCTCTCTAGTCTTCAAGAGAGAGGACCATGACAGGACCGAATAATAGTATTTAAATTCCTCGAGGGCAGAGTCAGCCCTAGCGGACTTCATCAGAATGCGCGGCGAAACGCGAACCGGGGCTCACAAGTGAAAACTACGGGGAAGCGCATTTGAAACCGAGAACAGGAGGCGGGTCTTTACCCACAATGTGGTGGAAGAGTGGAACAAGCTAAGCGGCCATGTTGAAGCCGATACCCTCGTCATATTCAAGACACGAGATCCCTGGATCATTTAGCGACTACCAAGGGAAATAAACCGGTGAATGGCCCCATCTTAATTCATTTCTAATCGGCCTCACTCATGTAAAAACATATTTCTTAAACATCAGGCTCTGAAATGATTTCTTACAAGCTTCTGAACCAGCGAGGAAATAAAATAAGTCACACGCCTTTCTTTCCCGCTAAATGTCTGATAAAACTTAATCGTGTCGCAAGCAAAGGCGGTTTTAACGGCACCGGAAATTGTTTCCTGACGACACCCCCTTTCCTCTACAATAAACTACACTTCCCAGGAGACATTGCGGGAGATACGACCTTATTTCCTTTGATGCTTTTCAAGATGGCGGCCTCCTAGATGTGTTTGTGGTCTGATAGAAACATTCTTCGGCAGAGAAACAGCTCGTTGACTTACTTTTTTAAAAAAGGGATCAGTTCCCCGAGGTGAGATCTGTGGCCTGCACCGCTTGTGTTTACGAGGTCTGACGAAAGTGTTGTGTCGAATATTTAACATCAGGTGTTAAGCGTTCCTTAGTTTAATTGGCATGGAAGTTGTGGCGGGATACAGCGCGGTGCTGGCAACACTGTAACCAGGCTGGGTTCAAGTCAGGCTTCTGATTTATGGTGTCGTTTCCAACTTGTCTTTTTCATTCTGGATGTCGAAGGAAGTTCCTCTTGCGCGTAAAGCAGGGTGCATCAGTAACTCCAGCAGAGCCTCCGGTCACCGGAAGATGCCCTGTTGTTCGTGGTGGTTCAGGGACAAGGAGTGCTGTCATTACCTGTAACACCCGCTTACACCGGCATTTACCCTGGACAGGCCATCGTCGTCGTTATTATTAACACCAGTGGCAGGCGGCTGTGGTTAATAACTGGAATTAACCCCAGGCATGTCTCGCCGGTGGTTTAAATAAGTTATTATCAGCGACATTATTAGTGTTAGAGGTACTACAACAGAGAACATTTCTTCTGGAATGTTCACATTGAACGTGAAATACTCTTAACAATCATTAAAATGTGGCCCAGACCGGTCCGGGTGCAGCTACTCATTTGTGTTCTTGCACAGACACCTGTGGGTCGAGCCTGC